GCTTAAACATGTTCCTGAATCAAGGTCTAAATTAGTGAAGTAAACAGCTGCAGCTGTACATATTCAACAGGGAGCAGACATGTTGATAAAGAAGTTACCGTTGCAATAATTTTTCAGTGTAGAAGTAAAAATAGAAATATATGTACCAAAAAGTTGCTGAAACAATTTCTACTCAAACTTTTTTTGGCTTGAGATCAAATATGTAAAGTTCCTGCTGGAAAGAGGGGAATTTCTCTATTAGCATGCAAACAAGGCAAATCTAACTGTATGTTAAACTTCACTCACTATCTGCGATACGAAGATCTTCCTCCAGAAAACTGCAGAGACTCAACAGTCATGGCCTAGTATGACTGATACCAAGATAGGCTTTAGCTCAGAAAAAAACTCTTTTTTGTTATGGACTTTGGGGATAAACAGAGATTAGTAGGGAAATGGGGGGAAAAGACAGTGATAACACTCACTGTTTGTTTTGGTTTGCCTCAACAGGGACATCACTGTCCCTGCCACTAATCTGCACATGGAAACGTGGGCTTCGTAGTCAAGATAGAAAGCAGAACAGACATAATTAACTTTTCAGTTCTCTAGGAGTGTGAGAAAGCAAATAGATGTTCTTTTGCATCCCCGGATGAATGGCCAGATGACCAGGTGAATGGGTGGAGGCAGAGCACCCAACACCCTGTTTAAAGCATTGCCCTGCACTAAATGTCATCTCAGCCTAGTGACCGCAGGGGCCTCTTCAGAACTGCTGAAGTTGTTTGAGAACTGCTAGGAGTCACTGCACTCCAGGCCCAACCTCGGATGGCCAATTCTAAACCACTTATGTTTTAAATCACTTCTGCTTAGGACCAGAGGCAATGGACACAAATTGGATGTTGGGAAATTTTAATTAGATATCTGGAAAAAATGCTTATTTTAACTGCTACTGGAACAGATTGCTTAGAGAGGCATTGGCATCTCTAGCCTTGGGTGTGTTTGAAACTCAACTGGAGAAGTCTCTGAGCAACCTGCTCTAATTAGACTTGCTTTGAGCAGAAGGTTGGACCAGATGATCTCTAGAGGTCCCTTCCAACCTAGACTGTCCCACGATTCAATGAAATGTTGAAAAATAACTGTAAGGTCTGGACTATCCTGAAGTTCAAAAGTACAAGGAAGTTAGACTAGAAGTAATGCAGGAAACAGGACTATTAGAATTTTCCTGAAAAGAAGAATGAAAAAGCTTGAGTACAACTAGCACGGAGGGGGAAGCATTCCTTGTTTCTGACTGTAGTCACATTGGTCATACAGCTGCTGGCAAGTCATACAACTCCTCACCTGGGAGCTGAACACGTATTGCTTCATTTCCATCAGCTGGAACTGGTGTGTTTGTCCAACAGGAAATCAGGTTTTAAAAGTCTCTTTTATAAGAGCAGATGTGTTCATGAGCTTCTCAAAGCATCATTGATAATGACTTTGAAGATTAAAAGAGAATTTTTGGCATAAAAATTACCTGATGAACCAGACAAAATAAAATGTTGTTCTGGAAGGTAGTAGTTATTTTTCTAAAATATTTTTCTGCAATCTGAAGGGGGGTAGATAGAATTTATTTGCTAATTGGATAAAGTTTCAAATCTACTGAAATTGTTATCTGGTTACTTTTAGGTTTATTTGTTTCCTGCTGGGGCGTGTGTGGCTTGGAGACTGCCCAAAGTCTTTTCTTAAAAGCTTTTCTAGGCTATTGCTTAGGATATGGGCAAAAGACTGAAGATCTTCCAGAACATATTCTTTTCTGCTTCTTTCCAACACACTGTGCACTCCCCAATTCACACTGGAGAAGAAGCCAAGGGATAGATGTCTGCGATGGCAATATCACAGATGACTGCAGAAAATGCCATTTCCTTATGTTAAAACCTATTATTTGAAAATTCTGTAGCTGAAACTACCCTAAGCTTCTGTTATAGTCTCACAGTTTCAAAGAGGAGTCATGAAATGTCAGGATGTCCTGAGCTATAGATACATGTAAAAGGTAATGATTAATATTTTGACATTATCAACATGCCAATACTATCCTAATAATGCAATGCTGTAAGTGGAATATACTAGTTTAGTGGAATCTCAGTAGGTTTATTTACAGGGGAAAAAAAAAAAGTATAGGTCATTTCAAAGTGAGAATATTTAAAAACTTTTCTTACAAAATTGTCCTTACCCAAATACCCGGAGATAACAAATTCCAATACATAAGGCTGGCTACTTTAAGTTGCTAGAGCAGCTAACTGGGATAGGAAGACCTGTCCCTATTATGCCACTGATTTCCTTAGTGAGCTATGGCAACCTACAAAACCTGTCCCTACTTTTGTTTCCCATCTCCAGAACATTTTATGTACAGGGAATTTAGGTCATACAAAGGGAGGAATTTAGCCCTCAAGCTATCTAAATATCTAATCTCTTAATATATTTGGCCAGATTCCGAACAGATGCTGCTTTACCTTTCCCAGATGGTAAAAATAGAAATAGTTAGGTATTAATTTGATGCACAGGGTGTTAGCCTGGCATATGACTTCAAGCATATCAGCAAATACATATTGTGGGAGCAGCAACTAGGTTGAACAATGTTCAGTTTAACATTACCTTTTCCGTATAATAATGATGTGAATAGTAGTCCTCCAGCATGTTTCTTTATTGGTTCCGGTAATTAAGTGAAACATTGTGTGGTATGTACTGAAGTATGCAGAAATTAGGACACAACTGTCAATCTGTGCTAATTATTTTTCTTACAGTTGTATTTATCTAATCTGTGCTGATTTCTTGGGGTCTGTATTTTATGATTATTCTTGTGACTAAACAACATTAGGATAATTCTGAGGCTGGGATAATGGTCGACCCTTCTACCCAACAGTCATAAACAAATTAAATTCACCAGAGGTCTATATATTACATGGCTTTAAATAACATCCTGAGAATCTTCTACTGCAAGTTGCATCTATGCTGAGGCATTTCTTTTGGCACATTTACCTGAACTGAGCTTAAATCCTAACCTGCCTTTCATACAGATGGGTGACTTGGCTCAACACTTTTGTTAAAGGAAAAGGAAATCCAGTGCCTTTCTGCCATACAGAAACATGCCATCTTGGTGTCTGACTACATAATCCTTTTGTCTGAAAAGAAGAGCCCAAGCATGTTTCAGAAAGATCGTATTTTTCATTTGGCTTATGGAACACTTATAAACTAGGACTCCTAACTGCGATTCCCAAACACAAAACAAAGTCAAAGGTTACAGCATATGTTTTTGTTTCAGCTTCTCCAAATTACTTGCAAATGTATTCAAACACAATATGAGGAGATACTTTATTTTATTGAAAATAACAGACTACAGGGTGCTGCAAAAAAGGCTGAGGTACCTCAAGCATAAACATGGAAAGAATACATTGGTTTAGAAACCCATAAATCCTTATTTGAATCTGCCAACCTGAAAGCCAAGTAAAGCCCGAAAAAACTATTTTTCCTAAATGCTATGTCTGATTAAGCCATACTATTAAATGACAGCTGAACTTTAACATTAATATGATATTATTTAAATAACTGCATGATTTTTTTTTTACACTAAAATGATGAATGATTTTTGGACAGCTCAATTGACATAAAGCAAGAAACCCCTTTAATGAGATTTGACAAAATGGAGACATATGCAGAATATTCGTTACAGCTCATGTCGCAGAGACCTTCCTGGGGAGTCTTGGGTTTGGTTGTGTCTTTTCTTTCGTTCATTTTTTTTATAGTTTATTTTGATTGTCTACAGGCACTGAACCATCCCTTTCAATTGCCACTTCCTTTCTCCATGGATTTTGAATTTAGCTTGTGTCATTTACATATTACTCTTAATCAGAGAATTTTGTATGTTACAGTTTGGAGTTGGAATTGTAAGAAATCTGTGGAATGAAGGCATGAAGTTCAGTCATTTTAACCTTTGTCAACTGGGTATACAAGGAACTAAGAAGGATATTTTTCTAAGGAGACTAAAGAACAACTTATTAAATTCTGGTTTTGATTTTTCCAAGCCAAGTGACAAATCAAAAATTCTGCTAAAACTTTCACTTTTTTTTTTTTTTTTTTTAAATAAGCAGATTGCATTAAGAAAATATGCAACATAAAAGCCCATGGCAAGGGTAATATCATACTGAACACTTCTGAGGATTCTCTAAACCGCTTTAGAACTGTATTTTCATAGCACCTGACACCATCTACTAGAGGGACAGAAACTGAATATATACAGAAATACGGACATCACGGAGAAGCTCAGGTGCTGTTTCACTGGGTAAAGACACATATCCAAAGATGCCACTCTTCAGAAAATCTGTCTGTGAATGTATCAATGTAAATTTAATATGGGTAATAATCACTGGATAACTTCCTGCAGTCCCACATAGATTTTTAAGATGTTGCAAATTCTTCTTTTCCATACCGCCTCACTTTAATCCACAGACAATTTTCATAACATTGAAAACATGGAAGAAACATGTTAAAACCACAGGGTTTGACAATGTGTCTGCCCTACCTATTCAGAGAGAATTGATCATCTTAATCTGTTCTCTGTGCATAAATTTACACTGCCCCAAAACATTTACAAACTTTCTCACACAAAATCTAACAGGTGAAAACCCCTGAAAACTCAACCCCCCTTTCCCAAACACTCAAGAATAAGGAACACAGGAAATCTACATTAAAAAGCTTAATTTTGGAACACACACACACACAAAATCCCAAATAACAAAGAAACCAAGAAGAGAAATGATTGAGCAAGAGTAATTCCTCAGGTTACAGAAAACTCCATAGCTGTGATAAAGTCTTGTATCTAACTATGCCTGCTTCACTGCCAGCATTCATTTGAAGATATTCTACATAACAGCCTGTGTAAAAAAAGCCAGGTATGTCAGCAAAACGCTGAGGTTGAATTAAAACTAAAAATAAAGGCATGGAGGGAGAGATAAAAAAAAGAAAGAGCAGAGGTGTCCCTACCTTGGCCTTACCTTCGCAACATTCCCGTCAAAATCCTGGAACTCTTCCCCAGGTTTGCATCTGTTTCTCTAAGCTGAGAAGAAAAGAGTCCCATTAAAGGCAAAAGGCACATATACTCCATTCTGTACAAAGAACAGATATTTCTACTGTCATTTGAGTCAATCAACTTTAGGTTTAGCCCACAACAAACTCACATGTAAGAAAGCCACCAAAGCACTGAAATTTAAAAATGTTTTGTCTGGTTTTCACTTAGGTAAAGATGAAACCCATGGAAGATAAGACACTGAGGCAACAAAGATGAACTGGGATAAAGAGCAAAAGGTTTACAAATAAAGGGTTGCAGGTAGAAGCTATATAAATTGGTATCCATAATTCCCATTGATGTGTGTATGTTTATTGGTTATGTGAATCAGAGCATCAAGGGATGAAGAGACAGCCATGTGCTGTGTTCCTGATGCTTTATGAAATGAAAAACAAATATATCTTTCACTGTTTTTCAAAGACATTAATTTAAAGAAAAAGCTGTAATACAACACAGCGTTCCTTTACTGATTTTGTGTAAAAGAATATGCCTATACTGTCCCTTAAATACAAAACCTGTACTGACCTTACAGCAGCCACCACTGGGATGGATGTCTAAATATTTTCTGAACAGTATATAGTATGTACATGAGGCACAGCTGTACAATATATACTTTTGCATGTAAGGATCACTCACTCACTGAAAAGAACATTTGCAACTAAACTTAATGAGCTGACTTGTTCTACAGCTCTCTCAAAATCTTGCTAAATAGGTAAAAGCAGAATTGAATAAAAAATTAAACTGGGGAGATAAAAATTTATGCAGAAAATGAACATATTAAAAAAGAGGAATTACTTCTATTGTTCGTTATGAGGGTTTAAAACCTTCCTTCTATTTTTGTGTTTATTAGTTCCCCACAAAAAGATGTCTAGAAATGAAGAAATGCATAGGAAGAATAGTTACAATTTTATTGCCTCTTTTCCTACTGATAGCTGAAGGAGAGATATCTTTGGACTTTTTAGAGATCTTGGAGACAGTGGGACATCAAAATCTACTGTAAATTATAGTATCAGTTATGAAATAGCAGGGGCCACTGTTTCTAACATGCCCCCAAACACAGCTGTGTGTACATACATAAAAACATTCTTCTCCTTATGAAAGCTGAATATTTACCTCTTCATTATCAAATCAGATTGAAAGGATTACTTGACTCATTGACTTCTTACTAAAGAAACTTTGTTGTAGAAGACAAAATGTATCCTGTGTTATAAATCCATCAAAACAGTAACACTGCCAAGAAAAGTGGCAGTCTTCCAATAACAAATCACCTTCACCATAACAAACCACTATTACATCTTGAATATATGCACAGCAGCAATATTAAAACCAGTTTCTATTCTGGAACCCAATACTGTAAATATTTGCTACCAGATTTAATGTGTATTACTGAAATCAGCAGTTGCAATCAACGACACATAACCTTTTTGCATAAATTTCCTCCTTGTTTTCATAAAAGGTATTAAGAAAATACCAAGTAGTAGCTGGGACTGGATAACACCAACCAAGGCTTGCTCTTAGCAATATCATATTCAGTGGGAAGCTTGCACTGACTCTCAGATCTCTGTAATTATGCGCCATGATGGAACAAAGATGAGCTTTATATTCCAGGGAAGCCATTCCCTCATTTTTTCCTGATTCATCTAGACGATTCAAGCTCCAAAAAAGCAGTTTAGCCCAGTTTGACACAAGTAACGGAAGAAAAAACGTCACAATAATTTTTAAAAGGCTTATTAAAAAGCCAAGTTCTTACCTATGCTAGAAGGGAATCTGAAGTACAAATGTATGCTTTACATTGGTCTTTTATTATTCATAAAGATGCATTTAACACTTGGGGCTTCTCCTCCTTTTTCACAGAAAAGTAGCTCTCTCCTTTTTACCACTGTATGTTTGATCCTAACTTTCCTCTCTTGCTGCAGGATTCTACCTGACAGCTAGAATCAGTACTGATACTTAGGAAGGGGAAGCTGAATCTTAGAGGTTTGACAAACTCCTCAAGCAAGACGATCTCATATATTTATGGTAATAAAACCCCCTACAAAATAAGTAAAAGAAATGTTAAAAAATAAACAAACACGTACATACATAGTTGGAAGATCTCTAGCTACCTCCCAAGAGAACACTGAAAAAACACCTTCTCTTCCTGCATCAGCAGAAAAAACAAGATAAAGAGTTTCAAACTGTAAGTTTGGTTTTATTTAAAATGGAAATATCTGATAGTGGTTCTTCCATCATTTCTTTACAAACACCAGTGCACTGCAGAAGCCAAAGAACTGGTGGCCTGTAAACCTGTTAAATGGCATATGATGGCACTCCCTTCTTTCACAGAACTGCTGTAACGAAAACATTTTTAAAGATGCTCTGATATTAGCAATGGCAAATCTACATGGTGTTTAAGAAAGCTTTTAAAAAATAATACTAAGAAGAAGGAAGGAAGGAAGGAGGGAAGGAAGGAAGGAAGGAAGGAAGGAAGGAAGGAAGGAAGGAAGGAAGGAAGGAAGGAAGGAAGGAAGGAAGGAAGATTAACAAGTTGATGATGTTGATATGTCTGCCTTAGACACATTTTAATTTGAGGTTTTCCTAAAAAGTATTGTACCATTTAGTGTCCTTTATACTCCAGTTAACCTATCTGACTCTTGTAGAAGAGCTTCATCCCTTCTCTTTGACTTTTAAAAAAAATAGTTTAGAGAATTCCTCCTCACAACTGTCATTACACATGTATTTTGCACTGCACATGATCTTCATTTATTCAAAATGATACTAACTCTGTCTTGCATTTTTCTTCATTCAAATGTTTTAATCTACAGACAGGAAAACTATTATATGTAAATTTAGAGTTAGAGACCCTAACCTGCTTAAATTTTGCTCATAAGAAAATCTTCCTAATTTTCAGAACATTGAACTGCAAAGACTGACCATCATACTCAAGCTGACATTTGACTTTCAGAAGACAAGTTTGTTTGCTGGTTGATTAGATAATAACTCTGTGTGTTCAGTGTAAAGCTATTATGCACTGACAGAGCATCCTCTGTTCTGGTCTTTAAAAAATCTCCACAAAAAGGAAAACTTACCAAGTTACCCAAGATCATCCCTGACTGTACATCTGAGTATACAGACAGCTGGGACAGATAGACTCATGTGGCTCCCTGAATTCCCTAAACAAATTATTTTAAGTGGCATATGATAAAAAGTTGGAATTTGAGATCTTCCATATACAAGAGGTCTTTCACTGAACTGTGATGGGATACACTTTCCTAGAATACCCTTATTAATTCTGCTCCTTGCAGCTTACAGGTTTTGCCATCAAAGAAATTTGCTCTTCAAGTGGAAAGCACAGAAAAGGAAAAGTTATGCCATGAACCATGCATTCAGAGTCATCAGAACTACACTCTCTTTTTTCCTGAGGATTTTTAGGATCAACAGAAAAGGATACATGCTATTGATCTCCATTGCCTAGGTTTTATTTGTCCAGCTAGAAGCAGAAAAGCATCTCAGACACAGCAGTCACTAGGGATGTGAGGAGTGGAGGTGAAATAAGACACAAAGTTGCCTGAACAACACTTGGTAAATGCAAAAAATCCTCAGTTACATTTAATGATTTAGCTATACTTAATGTTTTAAAGTAACTATGCTCAGGACTTCAGAAAGCAACTGGTACAGCTGACAGAAAACGCTTCATTAAATCCATCATATGAGGCTTTACCAATCAAAGCTATCCAGGTAAAGAAACTCCTGGGACAGATAAAGGAGTTTCCTTAAGTGGCATTGGTCATCTAGAGGCTCGTAGGAGGACATTGGCAAAATTGGACACTCAGGGAAGTATCTGATCAACGCGTCACCGACAGAAAGTCACAAGTACAGTCACTTCTGGTTCTGTGAGGGGAAACCAGAGGCAAATTTCTTAGACTGAAGTTCCAAGAAGTTGTATGTGTGGATGGGATGGACTTCTAAGCATCTTCATTAACTCTACAGAGTAGAGTTGATCCCTGTGGAGGCAACATAAGCCAAAAATGACATAGATATGTTATCTTGACCGCAGTGACAGAGCAGCAGCATAATAAACCACTACCTGTTCTTTCACACAGAATCACCCAAGGAGGCAATGAGCAGCATTTGCAGCTACAAAGAGTAAGGTTGAACAATCAGAATATCCGTCATGATAGTCCAAGAAATCACTGCAATGGACACTATAACAAACCCTTCAAAGGACAAAAAGCTGACCTAACTGTGATGTTAGGGACAGAAAACTTGTTTCCAACAGTGGATTTGGTGACTTCAGTGTGACTCCCTGTAGGACAGGCTTTGCAGGACTGGGCTCATACAAGACACTTTTCAAGTGTTTTGATGCAGATCTTGATTATATCTCATGATAGCAACTGGTTTATATAAAACTGATCAATATGCTGGATTATTTTTGCATGCACAGAGAACTTGCCTGAAGTAAATAAAATCTGAGACCAGGAAATACTTATTATCAAACTTACCCTTTCCCGAGCACGCTGGATCTTCTCTCTGTCGTGACTGAGGTTTTCCAGCATCTCCTGTCCAATCTGCTCTGCATTAAAAAATCAAAATGTAAATAATGAAAAATATAGCCTGTGACTGTAAGGCCTCAAATGCCAGGTTAGACTGTAACAACGTCATACGATACATGTGATAGCCTAATCACTCCTGCAAAGAGGAAGACATCTTTATACTAAATTTTAAGTTTTTCAAGCAATATAAAACTGAAGAAATATCAACCAAACCAGACGCTGTCCCCCTGCAATCTCCTGAGGTTGCCTAGGCCCTGGGAATTGACGCTGACCTTTGGTCTGTGAAACAAATGCAAGAAGACTTTCAGACTTGCTCTAAGTGCTGGGTGTCCATAATTCCCACACACTCCTTAAACCTACTCCCTGTCTTAGAAAGTAAGTCAGGAAGCCTTTCCTAAAACACCAGCCACCTTCCACTTCTGAAGACACTGAGAAGTCATATTAGAAGGAAACCACTCTCTGTGCCTCTCAGCATTTATCACTGATGCTTAAATAAAAGCTATTTCAGGCTAAGCTGAGTTACTGGTATCTGTTTTGCTCCATCACGGACTATTTCTGGCAAGCTTAGAGATATGCTGTAATGGATCTCCTGATGTTTTTAATAGCAGACATATACACTAATCTATTGTCATCACCGTTTGTTTACGCAGGGGTTGTTTGCTTCCGCAGCTTATGCTGAACCAAAGGTTGCAAAATTATAGGGGAGAGGCCTCAAGATATGGTACAAAGACAACATAAGATGCCAAAATTTTATTCTTCAAACAGCTTTAGTCGAATGCTCCTCTAACACTGAAATATTAGCAGCAAGTACAGAGAAGAGATTTTAATCTTCAAAGCTCTATAGAAACATTAAGAAACCCTCCCTGTATTTCCCTGAAGGAGAAAAATAAGTTAAATCATTCCCATTTTACAGGTGGGGAAACAGGTACAAGGAGCTGAAGCAGCTGTAGCTTGCCTCAGGACACACAGCACGTGTGAGACAACCAGCATTTCTGTGCACATTCATTTACATTATTGAGGCAGCTTGCCGGAGATAGGCACTAAAACTGAGTAAAAGTACAAACCCATGATTTCTAAACAAAAATCATGCCTTGCTATTGTTCTGGTGAATGAGTGAGCTCTTACAATGTCATTATTTGAGGAACGTCAAGAAAATTAATAATTAAAAATTCACCAATAAGCTAGTAGGTCAAACATGAGTATTCTGATTTTTTAAAAAAATGGATACAGTCCATTTTCAGGAAACAATCCAAAGTAGAATCACCTCAGACTTTAAAACTTTGAGACAAACAATTTTTTTTTTTCTAAATCCATTTAACACGAGCTACATAATCTGCCAGATGAAGCCCAAGGAAATTAATTACATATATATTTCTCTATGTATTGCCAAGTACAGTACAAGTAAGATAAATATTTCCTCAGATATCTGACCACAAACTGACATCCTCATTACGCTATCTTGTCCCTCTTGGCTTGCTGCTCTTTACTTTTAGCTGTATATACAATGCCTCCCAAAGGTGAAATGTGGTAAGATATGCGGTTATTGAGTTAAAAAAGCTGTAAGTGCAGTACAGCTATATAAATGGTAGCCTAAGAAAGGGATTCAAGAGAGCTTTGCCTATGTTTGCATGTCAGAGGACTTACTGGATGAAACTATACTGAGCATATTCTTCATCAAAGCACTCAAAATACTGTAATACACGAATTCAGATACATGAATTCAATGTAATCTTCGGGGGGGACGGGGGGAGACGGGACGGGGACAAGACAGGGATGACAGGACACCGAAGTGAAATTACTTAAAAAAAGAAGAAAAAAATAAACTAATTACTAACCAAGTAGCATGAGGTTAAATAATAACAAGTATTTATTGCTAAAAATTATACGTATTTTTGCACAGACATAAAGGAGTGCAAGGAGCAGATTTTCCTTCAAAGGAATAACTATAAAGTAAATAGCTAAAATGGCTTGGTATTTCACAAACAAAGCTCAAAAATATCTTTACAGGAAAAAACTCTATTTTTATTACAGCAATTTTAAGCAAGTTACTGTGGAGTTTTTTCATCTTCTTCCTGTCACTGGCAAGTTCACACTCTTAGCTTTTTATAATGATTGAGTTTATTTTCCAACCATCAATGTGACAGCAGCATCAACTGTAAGTGAGGGTAAAACACCATCACTTTGACGAATAGTGTATTTTCCTCTCATTGTCAATGACTGAAGACATCAATAAATAAGGAAGGAGAGCATGTCAGCCAGAATATCACAGAATGAATTGTTGATATGACACTTAGGGATTAAACCTTCAGCCATGAAGTTCAACCTAGCAGAGGGGTCTGAGAACTGAGATAGTTGCGTTTCTTCCCAGCAGCCTCTATAGATAAATAATTGGACGGATCATCAATTTTACAGGAGCAGCTTTACTCTACATGCACTTTAGTTGATGATCTTTGGCCTTTTTTGGGCTAAAATAACAACATAAGTTGAACAAAGAGACATAACTGAGGTAACATAATCTCACAATAAGTTTGCAAACATAAATTGACACCTTTATCCACAGATCCTCTTCATATCCTCATTCTACTCAGAAAATTCACTGATGACAGTGAAACTTGATTTTTTTGCTGGAAGGTCAGGACAGTCAAATAAAAATATTAATAAATAAAGAAAATACAGACATAAATGATATGAAGACATGTCTCCTCACTTGGTTTACAACTGAAGATGACTGGGACTGAAAAAAAGGTAACATTAGTCCCGTACAGTTAATTAAAAGTTTGATATAATTGCTATCTGCTTCCTATAATTTCAAGTTTTCCCCACAACTCTGATGCTTTCCTGCCAGTTAAAACCTTCATGTGTGTGGTAGATTCACGCTTTTAGTGCAACAGTGCTGTATGGATCTTTCCAGACTACTTATAATGCAAATCATTGACGATGCTACTACAGTTATGTGAAAAGGTCAGGTTTCGAAGATATACTGTAGTGCAGATGCATGAATTAAGACCAATACACAAACTGAAGGGTGTTGCATGTTGCCAGTAATGGTGTTATTGACACAGAATCTTAACAACGTCAATTATTTGGGGATTATCCCATCCTTTTAGTCACTATGTATGAACAATGTTTAGTACAGTACAGTCCCAAGTCCTACAAAAGACTGCATGGTGTTGCTTCTTCTAACAAATTCCCAGAGAGATGCATAAAATTATGTTCTAAAATTACAGTTAAACTATGAGAAGCAGAAGGGTGAATGCATTTACATCATTATTATCTATGTACTGACAGAGGGCAGGAATATTCGATATAGCAATTATCTCAGTCTTAAACAATGCTGTGATGAACAGAAAAAAAATTCTGAAAAAGTATATAACTTAATATTAACAAGCATCAGCCTTAGAGGGTGAATGCTAAAATTCACAGCTCTAAATGTATTCTGCCTTAAAGGTGTTTGAACAGGGTATGGGAAATCAGACCCTTCAGTGCTGAACACGTCAATAATGCTATATTGTGGGTCCAAGAAAAATGGTGCCTGGTTCTATGATACTGTGTTATGCAAAAAAACCCAAACAATTTTTATCCTAAAACACTGAAACTAATTAGAAGAATGAAGGCACTTTCCTCAACTGAAGAAAACTCACGCACACCACACCCCCCCCCCAAACCAACAAACGCAAACACAACTTCCCTCTTCATGTGTGCAAAAACTGGCCCATAGTTTACAACTTTGATATCGAGATAAACCCAAAAGACAATGAACACTTCTTGCAATGCTTTATACTCCTGAATGTGCTCTTTGGAATTTGCCTGTAACTTATGTGCAGTATTTATTTATATGTACAAATCATAATTAATTAATACATGTTCCACAAAGCTTGATTTCTAATACCTACACACATATCAAGGACACAAAATAAGTTGTGCTTGACTGGTTTTTCTTTTCCTTTTTCTGCCTCCAGCCATTTAAGTATTTATTTACTTTATCAGCTAAACTGATTCTGAAAGAGCTTTTTCTAATCACTCAAGTCAATAATACTTTTTTCCTTAAGAATGACTAATATATTTACTCAAGAGACAGGAATGATACGGAATCAGCCTCTCCAGGCTTTTGGATAAACAAACATGCATTTTTATGAATTTTACAGACAGAGTCCCCATTTTTCTTTTAATATGAAAAATAAAATAATCCAACATGGATTTATACAGCACTTTTCCTCTCAAAGTGTACCCTCTGTGTGTGTGTATAAATACCTATATTTATTTTTATATATATATATATATATATATATACACACTTGTTTCATAAGAGGCAGCAGATATCTTGATATGGTTTAAAATTTAAAAAAAAAAAGCTTAAAAACAACCAAATAATGGAGAAGATGCCTGAAAGTATGATTTGCTCTATCTCTGTAATTAGAAGTGGGAAAAGACAAACTAATTTACATGGGGAAAAGCAGAAGATCATGTTAAAAATCAAGATGGCTGTTCCACAAACCCATGAAATACACTCAGAAAATATTGTGTGTTGTGAGAGAACTCAGAGTATAATGGAGAACACTCCCACCCTGAGATCCTCAGTCTTGCCTAGTGAATGATGCCATTTGGGGAACGCAATTCTGCATTGCCTTTGCACAGAGACATCACATGCTCTGAAGATGTAGCAAAAGTTTATGAAAGATTGTGGCTTATGGAAGATTTTTGGAGAAGAACTACAGTGACGCAGGCAGAAACTCGGGAAACATATTCAGGGCTGGGACACTTTTTTTTTCCCCAAAGCCACTCCATTTTGGACAGGTTAAAAGTTTATATTTTAGTAGATGAAGAGAGATATATCACCAACAGCAGTTTCTGGAAAAAAAATGCTAGGAAGTGTTAAATGCTAGCTGTTCAGAGGTGACAGCAAGCAGATTTACAAATGTGGAAAATATATGTTGCAGGAGTTAGAAGAATTCAGGGCTGAGTCAAATGCTTTATGCTTCTGACAGCAGAAAGTTAATAAAGAAAGTGATGACATATCTTT